CCATCAATTCAAAAACGGAAAGAGTTAAGATTATAGATTATCGATCAATTAAAAGAACTTAAGGCTCAACTGTTCCGTCCACATGAAGTTTCCGTTCGTGCCCCTAGGCACAGACCATTCTACTTTCTTTACAGTGCATACGGCTCTTAGGATGGCGTATTTATTTTTTCATACCTTACATACATACAAACCTTGATATATCACTTTTGACCAAGGGGCTGCTAAGCCAGTATTTTTTGGTTGGCTGCTATTTTTCACTCACACACTTACAACCAACGCCAAATAAACACATGCGGTATAAACGACAGCTGTAAAATATGCAATACAGTCGCAAAGCTCTCCTCAAACTCACTGGGGGTTTTAAAACACTCTTTTCCTGCGAGTTTAGCTCTCAGTGAGTGAGTGGCAGCGGGAATATGAAAGAAGTAAACAAAAACACCTCGAAAGAGAGGGAGAGTGAACTTCAGCGAGATGATGGTTTGACGTGAGGTGCGCTTTTCGAGACTCCGGATGACTTTTTTGTTCGACGCAAAAAGCTCAGAGTTCACCCAAAGTCTGAGTAAGAGTGTGTGATAGAAAACATGAACACGAATGGCAGCAAACTCCGCTCTCATTTGATCCCCCTTCGCTCACAAACTCTGAAGCTCAGTGGAATGATTTGGCAAAAGGAATTCTACTGTATGTATGTATGGAAGGTAGCCACCCGAGACGGTTTTATGACAGGTGGGCAGGAACTCACGGTCTCCCAGTGTTGGTGAGTTCTTTGCCGTTAATGTTCACGAAAAGTTCACTATTTTGCCATACAGAAATTCAAAACAAAATTTTTTATCTGCGGATTTGGACAGTTTTTGACCTGTTTCATACGACCTGAAGGTGTATGCTGGTTACAAATGCCGTGCCAAACTGATTTCCTACGCAATTAATCAATCTTTGATGTGAATTTCGCTAATAAACACGAGGAGCATTTCTTATAGCAAAACTTGCCATAACAAAATGGGCGGTTTATTTTAGTAAACAAACTAGCACTTCTTCCGACTGTGGCACCTATGTATTAGGCGCCTAGGTAGCCACCATCCCTTTGAAAATCTTGTCTTGTATGCAGCTCCACTTAATAACAAGATCAATTTCAGCTACCGATCTGAATTCACAATATCGCTGTATGAAGGGCCAAACACGGAGGGGTGGACCCGTAAGCAGAGACACTTGCACTTAGAACGCGAAATCCACTGGAATTTAAGAATCTCCTTCAAACGATACGATCCAACAAATCGAATAACGCAATTCTGCTTACTCTTACTTTGGCAGTAGGAATTCTTCTCCTCAGAAAAATGCTACGCTCGGCTCATTTCAAACTCGCGACCGAGGCTCCATCCAGCTTGCTATTGCCGCGACGACTAACACGCTTGCTTGTATTGGTAAAACCTAATATATTTCTAGACCAACAATTGAAATAGACGGAACAACCAAACGTTAACAATGACTTTAAACGCAAATTTCTCGAGAATCAAAACACACCCACAGAATCTAATACCAACATCTGAAAGAGAAAACTTCCTTTATCGAATGGTATTGTTAGTTTGTGTGGGTGTCTTTTGATTCTCGAGAAATTTATGTTTAAAGCCATTGTTTATGTTTGGTTGTTCAGCCTATTTCAATCTTCTGACTATCATTAATTTTTAGAACTTTTTGACGGTTGTCGTTATTTTGCTGAAATTAATGGAATTGGTCTTATGTTCACGAAATAAACCTGAAATTCTCGTTCCCTGAAGAACCCATAATTTTCCTGATATTCGTGGAATTACCCTAAATATCACAGAATTGGCCGAAGTTCACGTAACTTTTCTTAAACTTAACTGATCCTAACTAAATTTCCCGCATTTTTCCTGAAGTGAATGGAACTGTCCTGAAGCCACCGACAAACTTGCATGACACTTAATTCCGACCTATGTCCGAAAATCGTAAACGGCCGATTTAAATGTGCAGTGATCCGAACTGTCAAAACCGCAGGATTGTTTTTTTTATCTAGATAAAAATAATTTGTCCAGGATAGATCATAGAAGTTCTCGAAACTTTTCTGAATCTATGGCATTGAGCTGAAGCTATCGTAGTCTTTAAACTTAAAATTTTAAAATTTTCATGTAGTTCTGGATGTTCTTTAAGTTCTCGGAACTACCCTGAAGGGATTGGTACTTCATTGAAATTTTTAGCATTTCTATGAAATTCGTAGAGGTTCTTGAAAGTTCTGGCAATTTTCATGATGTTGATGGTACTAATATAATGTTTTTCTAAATTTTTCAGAAGCTTTTGGAACTTTATTCAAGTTCACGCAATTTTTCTGAGGTTCAGAGGACCCCAAAATTATTTACAGTTTTCTGGTCATTGTTTTTGGAAAAAATGTAAAGCTCCTGCATTTTTTTCTGAAGTTAATCGAATGGCACTGATGTTCTCAATTTTTTTTTTAATTTTAGAAACTTCCATATAGTTCCCCAAACTTTTCATATGTCTATGGAACAGCACTGATGATCAGACTTTTTCTAAAGATCTTTAAACATGTCTGAAGTTTTCAGGATTTTCTTGCAGCTCTTGTGAATTTCCTCAAATTATCTTGAAGAAAATGGAGCTATCTGATGGATTAACGCAGCGAAGGTGGTTTTAGGGTATAACCCTCCCCCAGCAATGAGGCAAATATAAAATTGTACTTTTCAACAAAATGCAATTGAATAGCACTGAAATCCCCAAGTAACCATACTTACTTACCAATCAGGCTAAGGCCTTGTTGTCCTCTGCTGTCCGAAGAAGTCATCTCCACACTACTTGATCCATGGCCACACTTCACCAGTCTCGTAGTCTGCAAAGGGTCCGCAGGTCACCTTCTACTTGGTCAATGCACCTTGCCCGCTGCGCGCCTCTTCTTCTTGTTCCTATTGGGTCGCTTTCTAGTACCATTTTCACTGGGTCGTCGTGCGACGTGCCCAGCCCACCGTAGTCGCCCAATTTTTGCAATGTGGACGATGGATAGTTCTCCCAGTCGCTGGTGCAATTCGTGGTTCATTCGCCTCCTCCACGTTCCGTCATCCATCTGCACTCCACCGTAGATGGTACGCAACACCTTCCATTCGAAAACACCTCCACGAGCATATGCGGCGGTGAATTTTATTCGACCGGAGCGTCCTCCGGAGTCCAAAGTAGGCATAGGCCTGCTAGGGTGAGAGGTAATCACGCTTACCACTGCACCACCGGCGCCGCTATTGATAGTGCTTCACAGAATTAATTTTCCAGGAATGTTATGTTTAGAATTTTTCCGGAAAGAATATATATTTAGCAAGCTTTTAACAGTTTCCTCTCTAAATCCCAATTTAAAAGAATTGAAAACGTGATTTTTGGTGAAGTTAGCCGAAATTGATTTATAGGATGCCAATACTGGTATTTCAATAAGAAATGATTTTTTATTAAGTCATTTTTACAACCCCAGAAATGCCGTTTCCGTGATACTATTTTTTATTTTTTTTTAAAATAAGTCATTAATTTTTTACAAGATCTAAAATGAACGAATTGTAGCATACATGTGAATCATTGCCCATAACAAACAGTTATGCAAACTTTCATACAAATCGGAGAAGGTTGAGTTTTGCCGAAACATCATTTGGCGTGAAACTGCTCTGTTGTATCTGCTTTTTTTTTAATTACATGAATATTTCGCACATCAGCTTGAATTATAGGGTGTCGCAGAATGTCTAAGTACGATTTAAAAAAACGATAACGTAAATCTGTTTGCAGAAAATTCGATTTTTATTTCGCATTAATGTTCTCTATAGTATTCTCTTCCAGTTAAAGGTCGAAAATCCGAGATCCGATCAGTCGTAAGCCAAGGAGCGGATTTTTGATCTCACGCTACTCATTAGCTTCAGCACAGATGCCTTTCCAACAATGTTGGATACTTTTTCCCAGTCTTTCGGAAACTTTGTAACGGAATCCGCTGCCCTTACATGTTTCCGCAAATATGCTTTGGTCAGGGCCCAAAAAGTTTCGATTGACCTGGCCTGGGGACAGTTGGGGGATTCATCTTCTTGGGTAGGAATTGGACCTTGTTGACTTTATATCAGGATAACGTCTCCTTGGAGTAATGACTGTCGTTTTAAACATCGCTTTTCCGGAGAAATGCTTCGCATTGTCACGGGAATGAAAAGAACCGAGACATGCGATACAAGAAACAGTTGGTCGAAATGTAAACATTGATTCAGCGTGATAATCAGCTGTTTAAACGTCACATGAAGCAAGCAGGGGTGTGTCGTGTTCAGACATTCTGGAACACCTTATACGTTGATCGATATTGCAATTTTTGTTGCTGTGTAGCCAGTCACAGTCTTGTTCGCCATATTAACAATTTAAGATTGTTTTACGTGTTTGCCAAACTAAATAATAAATGAAAAACGCAGCTTCTGTTTCAAGCACTGATCCTGATAGCTTACTGCTGACGGGAAAAAAAACACAACCAAACAAAAACGAGCAACTACCCATAGAAATTACATTTGCGGCCCTTCCCACTCCGTTGGCAGCTCATTACGAAAGTCATCAATTTTTCAACAGCTTCAAAATTGAATTCCTCCCCCTACTGACTGAAAGACAGAATGGCTACCTCGATGGCAAAAAAAAACACTTTGCGGCATCAAGTGGAGAAGTTGAGCGGAATGCGTAGGAAAGTACCAGCACCAGCCTCCCGACTGCGAACGGTTGTAACAACATTTCGAACGCGTGAGATGGTGAAAATTGAAAAACTTTTCCGACCCTCGCACCACCACCAACACCCAAACTCACTTCGGTCTGTTTGGACCATTTGCTTTCGAATCGGCTCGGCCCCGGAAAAGTTCTGATTTGATTCGATACGGTGTGTTGCTACTTTTGATTTGACTGGGAGGATTTCCGGGAACCGTCGAGGGAAAATTGGATCAAAACTTGAACTTCATCGTTACGGCATGATAAACAGGAAACACGGTACTCACCAGTTGATTGGGCCCGCCGACCGGTTAGTCCTTTCTCGTGATGCCGCGATACGTTGGCTCCCATGGTTGCTTCCGTCGTTAGGTGCTGGTCAATCAGCGCAGCAGAGTTCACAATACCATTATTATTACCATCATGCTTCTGATGTTGTGGCTGCTCAACGAGCAGTATCTCGTCACACCCACCCGGCTCACAAAGCACTAGATCACTATCACTTCCCACACCCTGCCTCTCGACCAACAATGGCGATGGCAAAATCAACTCACTTGCGCCGTAGCTTATGCAATCAATTTTCTCAATGCTAACTGGATTGGCTCCACCACCACCGACGACGACGACGACGTCAAAATCACGGCACTCTTCGTCTTCGTCCCGGCAGAACTTCCGGTGTGGTGCAATTTGAGCATGATAATTGCCACTTTTCGGTGCTGCTTCTACAATGGCTTCGTTACTATCGCCAACGTTACCACCATTGCCGTCGTAGCAGCTGTCGTACAAGTTCCGATGGAATGGACGGCGGCGGTCTTCACGGACCGGATCTTCACAACGAGGCTTCTTGTCCGGTACTTCACTTCCGGACGGGCGGCGTTTGGCAGTTTCGGTTTCACTACTGCCACTACACTGCTGGGTCTGCTTCTGTTTCTTCTTGCCCTTGGAGGAGTTTTTCGCTTTGCCTGGAGTGGCGGCGCTGGAATTGCTCCTCAGCGATGCCAACCGTTGGACTAGTTTGAATAGGACCTGCCGAGAGGAAATAGGAAACGAGAAAAGGAAACCATTAGAATCGAACTTCTCTGGCGGTTGTTGAAATGTGGTTGGTTGAAGAACCAGTCTAAGCTTGATTATGGCAGCAAGAAGGTGCATATATTGTTTATAATTTAACTCGTAGTGACTCATTTACACTTAATCATACACCATTTGCAGTTATGCATGACGTCAGACATTTGAAATTTCGAGAAGATTTTTATTTACTGCAGTCATTTTCAAGAGAGTTTTTTTTTCAGAAGACAGACTACGATGGGGCAAAACTCCGACCTTATTTTAAATATATATTATTTATTTGTTTATTTATATGATTATCATCTTTTACATTTAAGCCATACATACTGTTTAAAGTGACTTAATCCTATTCTTAAAAACTGGTCTACTTATATTAAAATCAAAAACATCACACACATCATTAAACATGCTGCAACATCTATCGAGAGGATTGTTATAGCCGTAAGCAGTACGATGTCCGGGAGTCCACAGAAAGTAATAGTTGCGGAGACGGCGAGCTGGAGTGTGATAATTGATGTTCCCGAGCAAACAACTGCAGTTAATATGATTACTAATTAAGTCAAATATGAACATCCTCTGGAGAAAGACTCGGCGATTTGTTAGTGTTTGCAGTACGATAAGCGCACATCTATGCTCGTACGGAGGTAAGCTATCTGGATTTGTCCATGGCAGACGTCGTAATGCAAACTTTATAAACTGTTTCTGGATTCTCTCGATGCGCAGTACATGAACAGCATGATATGGAGCCCAAATTTGTACTCCATATTCAAGAACACTGCGGACCATAGAGCAGTACAGCGCTTTCAGGGCGTGCACGTCGTCGAATTGTACAGTATTGCGGCCCAAAAATCCTAGTATGGAGTTGACCTTTGCAACTGTCATGGATATGTGCTCGTTAAACCGTAGTTTGCTGTCCAAGATGAGCCCAAGATCCTTAATGGCATTAACCCTTTCCAGCGTCGATTGATTCATAGAGTAATCAAAAATGATTGGAGAGTGAGAGCGGTTAAGGGTAATCACTTTGCATTTGGCAGCATTGGCTTGCATTCCATTCATCTGACACCAGGATGACAATCGCTTAATATCAGCTTGTAGTGCGCAACAATCCACGATCGATTTGATCACACGGTACAGCTAAAGATCATCCGCATATAGCAACTTACAGGAACTTACATATCACACACTTCGTTAATAAACAGAACGAAAATGAGAGGTCCTAGGTGACCCCCTTGTGGAACCCCCGATGGTATATGGAATACCTCGGATCTGGAATCACGTACCTTAACGAAAGCCTTCCTGGATGATAAGTATGATTTCAACCAACAAACGATCCACGGTGGAAGACCAAGGCGGTTTAGCTTCATAATGGCTAGGTCGTGAGGGACTTTGTCAAAAGCCTTAGAGAAGTCGATGTAAACGGAGTCCACTTGCTGACGCTTCTCGATGCTACCTATAAGAGTGTTCGTGTAAGTCATCAAGTTAGAGACTGTCGAGCGCTTTTTCATAAATCCATGCTGAAACTCTGAGATTATGGGTTGAACAGCTGGATACAACTTCTCATGCAGAAGACTTTCGAGAACTGTGGCCAAGCAGTTCAGGATCGAGATAGGTCGGTAATTTTCCACTTTGTGCATGTTACCGGACTTGAAGATTGGTGTAATTGAGGCGATCTTCCAGGCATCCGGAAAAACGCCATCCTTAAGCGATCGATTGAAAATATACATAACGAGAGTGGCCAACGATACTGCACAGTTCTTGACGAAAGACGGTGGAATACGGTCCGGGCCTGGACCTTTCGATGGATTGACTGAGCAAAGGGCTTTGAGAATAGCGTCTTGATTGAAGATGAGCTGCTGCAGGTGAATGTCGTATCTTGGTAGCTGATCAATGTATTGCTGCGGTGGAGGAGTTTGATCGTTTTCGAAAACACTTCGGAAAAAGTCAGCGAAAAGGTCAGCAGAAGCGGTGTCGGTGGTGGAGCTTCTACTACCGTAGGTGACATGCATGGGAATACCAGCTGATCTTTTCCAAGAGTTGATAAAAGACCAGAACGACGATGGATTTTCCTTGAAACCCCTCTGGAGGTTGTCGACGTACTCACGCTTCCTGCAAACTATTATACTCTGCTTCAACTAGCTGCACCGTATACTTGTTTGCTGCGGTCCGGGAACAAATGTAACGTTTTCGAGTTTTACGCAGACGGTTACGCAGATTACGCAATTGCGGATTCCACCAAGGTTGTTGGAATTGCAAACAAGATTTTCGTGTCTTCACCGGAAAAATATCTTGGAATACTTTATAGATGTTGTCGTAGAATACGGAGACGGCGGCATCAATGGTGGGTTGGTCAAGTATTTGTACCCAATCCAAGGCGGCAATCCTGGGTACGGAAGCGGATGATCTCTCGAACGGGAGTCAACTTTTAGAACCAACGGCTTGTGGTGACAATCAACTTTCATAATTACAGAGGGTGGTTCAAACAGCTCGATGCAATCGGAGTCACTGACGAGAACCAGGTCAAGAAGCTTACCATTCGTATTCACCAGATCGTTGATTTGCTTCAATCCAGCAGACAGTATGGACTCCACGGAAGCGGATATGATGTGATTTAAATTGTAACCAAAGGAAAAAAAATGGCATTTGGGTAGCGACTGTACTGCAATTGGATGGGATTGAGCACATCGATGTAAATTTACTTATCATTTCTGCAAGATTTCCGTTTGTTACGCTTCTACATTTGAATTTTGGATACTTCGATTGCGCTGTTGACATCAATTTTTTCTGTGCTAATTCATGGCCTACAAATAACACTCTTCTTATTAGTCTTCTTCTTCGCATTTCCAGCTTATTGTGTACTTTTAACTTGGTGTTTTTTCAGCACTTCCAAGCTTTTTTAAATCTCTGATAATATAAAACTGACTGACTTCGAGAATCCTGGACTGCTTTCGAAGCCTATGAACGGTACACTCAATTGTGATTTTACAAGCGGTACAACAACCAAACTGTTGAAGAAATGTCATCTAGAAAGTTGCTTTTTTCGGCGAAGTTATTCAGTGGATCAATACCTTATCGTTGGTGGACAGAAGTTCGGAACTAGCACCGCGTAGTGAGAACATCCCGAACTTCTGTATACCAATCATAAGGTCTTGATCCATTGAACAACTTCGCTGAAGACAGCAACTTTCTAGGTGGCAAGGATTTCAAGATATAACACGAACAAGGAAATCACAAAGTCAAGCACACTAGCACCGCGTAGTGAGAAAATTCCGAGCTTCTGTCCATTAGGTCTTGATTTACTCAATAACTTTGCTCAAGACAGTAACCTTCTGTACGTCCAGGATCGCAAGATATTCCATGTTGGTCCCTATTAGGTCAAATCCCATATGCTACGTGTACTCCATTTACGCGATTGCCTCGCGTAAACGGAATCATTCGAGACCAACGTAAATGGAATTAGTGTTGAACGAGTTCGCGTTCTTCGGGGAAAGAGTGTACACTGAAGGAACTAACAGAATTTCACCAACGACGAGTCCGTGTTCTGGAATCCTTGCCTTCCAAGGCTGCAGATGCCACCAAATCATCCCATCAATTTCCATCTAGGCAGAAGGGGCCTACAGTGAAGACTACTACTGTACTGGGAACCATCCTCTGTTTTAGTGTGGTACTTTCCAACAAATGTCAGTGACGGATAAAGACTCATTGCTACGGTCAAACAGGGCCACCAAGCCAAGGAATGTCAGTCAAAGAATTCCTGCAGGAATTGTCACACGTTGGTTTGCTTTAAACTTGAAAGGGACTCCAACCGAAGGGCTTAGCGGCGCCGGTGGTTTTGTGGTAAGCGTGGTTACCTCTCACCCCAGCAGGTTCAATCCTAGTCGGCGCCGCCGGCATGTTCTGAGGCATAACATCTCTGATCACGCCTTCCTTCGGAAGGGATGTAAAGCCGTTGGTCCCCGGTTCATAAGTTGATGAGTCGATATGTAGGGTCCAGGTGTGGGAGCTGCTTCCCTGGCGTCGGTAGCATTAGTGCTCAGCACGGAAAACAAGATCGACGAAAAAAAAAAAATCAAGGAAAAAAACCGAAGGGCACCAACCGACAGCAGCAACGTGGCCAAGAAAATACCTATGCCTACTTCCACTCAATCTGTATCCAATATTTCTCCTCCACAAGTAGCTAACCTGGCAGCTATTTGACAGCTTGGTAGCCGGCACAGTGCACCAATGCTCGTCGAAGGTTTTATTGGCGACAGCAGTTGTCGTAGATCCGGATAACGACGGCAATAGGATGCTAGATCGCGCTCTTCTCGATTCAGGATCGGAGAGTAACTTTATCACCGAATATCTCGAAGCAAGGTGGATATTTCGGGCCTTGGCATTGGTCAGGCAGCATCCTAGGTCAAACAAAGGATTGTGGTAATGATCCGTTCCCGGCTGTCGGAGTTCTCGCACCAGATGGCGTTCCTGGTACTTCCGAAGACAACAGCCAACCTCCCAACCGCTAGCATCAACATCACCGGTTGGGCGATACCGGAAGGAATCGAGCTCGCTGAGCCATAATTTTGCGTCTCGTCGGGAGTGGATCTCGTTCTGGGAATTGAAGCATTTTTCGACTTCTTCAACTCTGGCAGGAAGATCTCATTTGGGAAGCGACTTCCGGTCTTACAGGACTCTGTTTTCGGTTGGATTGTCAGGGTTTGCATATCAACTGCAATACAGCAATACTCCAATCGCTTGGAGGAACTACTTACTCGCTTCTGATTCATGAAGGAGGTAGACTCCAAGAACAATTATTTTCCGGAAAAGACTTTTTTTCTTCTGTTCACCACTGCGACCAGTAATTTGATCCCGTGTCCTTAGTTTAGTGCAAGTCGTATTACTCCATCACTATTGAGAAATGATGAAGTATTCGATTTTTTAAAGTTGTCATTCTTGAATTTATCGCAAGGATCCGATTCTAATTG